CCGGCGCTGGAGACGTTGCTGAAGCTGGTGAAGAACGTGGTGAGTAGTCCCGGAGAGCAGAAGCGACTCGGCATGCCTATGTACACGGGGGAAGCAGGAGGCAAATTGGTGTTGAAGGCGAAGCCATGAGACGCTTGTGGTGGCTGTGTGTGTGTGTGCGTGTTGTTGTTATGTTTGTGTGTTGTTGTTTTTTTGTTTTTGTTGTTTTGTTTGTTTTTTTTTGGGGGGGGGAGGGTTAAGCTTTGGGGAGTTGAGCTGGAGAGCTCGATCCAAGGTTCCCCATGTGTGCCGTCGTGACTGCCAAATCAAATGTTGCGCAACACATGGCGTGCAGTATGTCAGCACATCGAAGCTTTTTGGTTGCTCAGGTTCCGCCGGGTCCGGGCAGAGAACCCTGCTGTGCGAGCCAGGCGCGTACGAGAGAGCTGCTGCCTCATTGATTTCGTCCAACATTGTGGGCTCTTCCGTCTTCATTCCGTCTTCATTCCGTCTTCATTCCGTCTTCATTCCGTCTTCATTCCGTTTTCATTCCGTCTTCACTCCGTCTTCACTCCGTCTTCATTCCGCCTTCATTCCGTCTTCATTCCGTTTTCATTCCGTCTTCATTCCGTCTTCATTCCGTCCTCATTCCGTCTTCATTCCGTCTTCATTCCGTCTTCATTCCGTCTTCACTCCGTCTTCACTCCGTCTTCACTCCGTCTTCATTCCGTCTTCATTCCGTCTTCATTCCGTCTTCATTCCGTCTTCATTCCGTTTTCATTCCGTCTTCACTCCGTCTTCACTCCGTCTTCACTCCGTCTTCATTCCGTCTTCATTCCGTCTTCATTCCGTCTTCATTCCGTCTTCATTCCGTCTTCATTCCGTCTTCATTCCGTCTTCATTCCGTCTTCATTCCGTCTTCATTCCGTCTTCATTCCGTTTTCATTCCGTCTTCACTCCGTCTTCACTCCGTCTTCACTCCGTCTTCATTCCGTCTTCATTCCGTCTTTCCGTCTTCATTCCGTCTTCATTCCGTCTTCATTCCGTCTTCATTCCGTCTTCATTCCGTCTTCATTCCGTCTTCATTCTTCATTCCGTCTTTTCATTCCGTCTTCATTCCGTCTTCATTCCGTCTTCATTCCGTCTTCATTCCGTCTTCATTCCGTCTTCATTCCGTCTTCATTCCGTCTTCACTCCGTCTTCACTCCGTCTTCATTCCTTCATTCCGTCTTCACTCCGTCTTCATTCCGTCTTCATTCCGTCTTCATTCCGTCTTCATTCCGTTTCCGTCTTCATTCCGTCTTCATTCCGTCTTCATTCCGTCTTCATCACTCCGTCTTTCCGTCTTCATTCTTCATTCCGTCTTCATTCCGGATTCACTCCGTCATTCCGTCACATTCCGTCTTCATTCCGTCTTCATTCCGTCTTCATTCCGTCTTCATTCCGTCTTCATTCCGGATTCACTCCGTCTTCACTCCGTCTTCATTCCGTCTTCATTCCGTCTTCATTCCGTCTTCATTCCGTCATCATTCCGTCTTCACTCCGTTTCCGTCTTCATTCCGTCTTCATTCCGTCTTCATTCCATCTTCATTCCGTCTTCATTCCGGATTCACTCCGTCTTCACTCCGTCTTCATTCCGTCTTCATTCCGTCTTCATTCCGTCTTCATTCCGTCATCATTCCGTCTTCACTCCGTTTCCGTCTTCATTCCGTCTTCATTCCGTCTTCATTCCATCTTCATTCCGTCTTCATTCCGGATTCACTCCGTCTTCACTCCGTCTTCATTCCGTCTTCATTCCGTCTTCATTCCGTCTTCATTCCGTTTTCATTCCGTCTTCATGCCTCAAGGCTATAGCTTCTTCATTCCGTCTTCTCTTCATCGGTAGTGGTTACCCTTATTAGTAAAGAGACCTCCCTCAAGGTCAACAGGGTTTGGGGCAAACCCCCAAAACTGATATGTTTTGGAGGTCTCCACTGATTAATCTGGAACCTCTTTGGTCCTTGTCGTTTTACTTCTGGTCCCGCCCAGCCAATTGGTTCTTGGCCCAAAGCAACAAGGTGTTCAAGCTAAGAGGCACCCCTTGGAGGCCAGCCCCCCTCAGTAACCGAAAACCTGCGATTAATCAGGGCCCTTTTGGGCTCAACACAAAAAATCATGTTGCCATTTAAAGTCCTCTTGTCCGGAAGGGGCCAAGCAGGAGTTTTGGCTTGGGGCTGCAGAAGGCGTACCTTTAATCGGGGGGTTTTGGGGAGGCCCAACAAAGGATTGGGTAGGGCTTTTGGGCAAACATTGTTGGCCCTTTACTTTAGAATTGGTGGGAATCTGCAGGGGAATGGGGGAAAACTTCCTCAGCGTTTGATCTCTGTGTCGTTTGCAATTCCAGGCATGTGGCAAACTTGTCTTCTTTGCACATCTCCCAGCATGACCATGTGCAGCAACCGCTTATGCCTTTGTGGGTGTATGTGGCGGCCATGATGTTTGGCATGCTGAGCCCTGATTGCTCGGTTTCACTGCGCGCTGTTTGCTTTGCAGGCTTATGTCGGTGGAGGGTGCAGAGTCCATGCTGGTGCTTCTGGGCTTTGAGGCTGCGTGCCTCGGCCGAGTGCCAAGAGCCGCAACGGATGTCTCAGATGTCCGTCAGACTTTGCTCGTCAAGCCACGCGCAAAAGGAAGCCTTTCAGCTTCCAAAGTGGGCTTGGTTTGAGCATGAGCTGCCACGCTTATGGCGCCAGGTGGCCTTTTCCCTCCATTTCCGCAGGTCACAGCTGGAGAACAGAAGGGTTTGTATGTTTGGCGCCATGGACCATCAGTGGGCAATGCGCTCCAAAAGATTGGGCCTTTGAGGAAAGGGGGCACTTCATGGCACTTTCATGGCGTTGAAAAGGAAGGGTTTTCACAAACTGGGCTGTGCCAAGGCATCCTCAGTCTTCCGTTTGGTCGCCTTCGTAGTGATTTCCAAAAGAGGTCGCAGGCTGGGATGTCCTTGTGGATTTGTTGAAGGAAGGGCTTGTGAAGCGCCAACGAGACCACGTGAAGATGTGTGCAATAGAATTCCATCAGAAACCGGTACTCGTATAGTGCGAGAGGGCCATGCTCATGAATTGATCCTTTCTGCTGTCGGACAAAGCATTGGAAAGCTGAGCGTAGTCTACTAATTTATTGCGCATCACCAGTGCTGAAACCAAGTGCATCGCGTTGTACCGACCCCCAAAGCTGAAAACGCCTTAGTAAAGGCGGAGAGAGCGTCGGGTTTTGTAAGGGTCTCTCTCAAAGTCATTGCATGTTAATGCAGTAGTGGTCGTTCCAAACAGGCGTGTGTATTTCTCAGCCGCCAACCCGTTTACTGCCAGTTTTGCCGGAGCGACTTGTGCGCTTGATTGTGGGCGGCTTGTTCCAAGAAGCCCGCTACTACGGGAAAATGAGCCAAATACACTGTAAAGGAAAGGGTTGGTGCCATAGGTGTCCGTTTTGGTTGTTTTGGTCGAAAAATGGATGGCGATTCCTGGTTTACCTGGTGGTTTAATCATCTACCAGGGCCATCTATTTCCCCTAAAAGGACACCTATGGTTGGTGCCAACTTCCTGAAATTGTCCATTCCTTAGGACGGAGGGCGGGGAGCGAGTCTTCCTCCTCTCCGACCATGGCTTCGACCTGGCAAAGCTCCGCATGGGCCAAGAGCTTTTGGAGGCGGTCTCAAGCCGCTATGAGCTTGATGTTGGGGAACCTGTTGTTGTTTCCAACCTCAAAGCTTCTTGTTGACCTCCACTACATTCTGGCCTGTTGGCCCCGATGTTGTGGGTGTTATAGACCCCTTCCTCCCCAGTTCCGCTTAGTTTGCCGAACGGTCAATATTCTGGATCAATGCTCTCTTTAAATACGACCGCGAACCTGAATCACTCTGGGGTTTGCACACCCTCAATGGTGGAGCCTATTACGGCGGAGTTTCTCAGTTGTTCATATTGGTCTCTGAAATGTGTTGAATCACCGAGGGTTAGCTCTTTGCTAAGAGCGTGAAGTCAAATGTCCAGTTCTTCTGGAAAGAGGTGGTATGAAGTTTGGGAGAGCAGGCCGTGCCCACTACGACTACAAGCTACAAAATGTGCATTTTGGCGGATATGGCTGGATTCTTCTATTCTGTAAGGCAACTACTAGCCGTGCCAGAGGCTGGCTGTTTTTGGGGATCAGGCTTGGGCATACCCGGGTGTAGACGATGCGCAGGTGGAGCTGGAGAAAATGGCCAAGTGAGTACATGTAGACCACATACCATCGCACCCGGTGTTTTACACGTAGCCGCGCTCTGCTTGATTTCAAGTTAGCTCTCACAGCATTTGTTAGTCACTCAGCACGCTTACCTGGGCGAGGCTACTTACAAACATAGTGTTTGTCGGCAGCTCTGTTGCCATTGGCATGTACAGCTAGCAAAGCTGCTGTTTTCAACCGCTCAGGCTCCAGAGGAGCTGTTTCTGAGTGTGTCCCAACCTCTTCTGCCCATACTGCCAGTGTTTTCTCATCAACGTGTTTTTTGGTTGACCGTGTATGAAATGCGCTGTTGTTTCTTCACCCCTTGGAGGCCTTCCTCCAAAATGCAAACAAGATCTTGGCAGAAGGGCACTGCTGGCGTTCGATCGTACAGGCCAGTCAAAAGCGAGGCGAAAAGGAGGCTGCCAGCTCGGGGGCGGCATGGACGGTAGCGCAAGCAGGTTGGGTATGATTCTTATCTGGGATCCTTTGCTGGGCGTCACTTACAAGTGGATTCATGAGGAGGATCCCCATCAAACTTCTCGACAAGTTCAAGAACGCTGCTTTTTATTGCTTGCCTTCCTGTTAGTTATTCAAGCTCCCCTGCATACACTGAGCGTTTGCTGCATTGCGATGCTATCAATGGCTGGCACAGAATGCCCATTTCCACGATGCAGCCCTTTCACATCTCCGGTTTCGTCCCCCTTTTGGGTGAGTAAAAGCGGCCTTGTGGTGGCTTTGACGGATGAAAGCTCTCGCTGAACGCCATGCGGTTTCCTCAGGTCCAGCGGCAAGGGATGTGCACGACCTCTACGCGCTCCTCTCCATGCTGGCGATGTTCTGCTACTTCGCCCTCTTGGTGGACTTTAGCCTTTCGGCCCAGAACCAATCCAGGACCTATGGTACTCGAAGAGGATCGAGCCAGGCTCTCGCAAGCCCGTGAAGTCAATGAAGGTTCAGCTGTTCGCTGAGGCGTGGCTGTAGCTTGTTATGCCAAAGCACCTGCCTTGCTACATTTAAGTGCATTCCAGCGGGGGTTGTGGGTGAGTGTCAGTTGCCAAGTGATGGGCGCAGCAGAATCAACAAGACTGATGATCAGTAGCTGATGGTTCCGGCCTGCTACTGGGGGCTCGTCTTCCGGCCATTTTTCTGGAGCGAGCCGCAAGGTGCACTAAGCGGTGAATGAAACTAAGCTGCTTCCATAGCCCTAAGCCCGCTGGTTGCGGGGACAGTGTGCTTGAGCTGCCATGCAACTGATCCTTGGGAACCACCTACCTGGCCGTGGCAGCGAGTTTCAATCACTGGAACCCAGGTGCCCTTTTCGTGCGCAGCTCCACTTTCGTGATGATCGCCGGGCGAGTGGCGCCCAACCTAGCGCCTTGGCACTGCTTTGGATAAGGGAATGTGCGAAATGTGTGACATGTCCTTGTTTTGTTTGGGGGGCTCCTTGCAATGCCGTACTGCTTGTGCTCAGCGCGACAGCAACTCACAAGGGGTAGTGCAGCTTATGCTTTCTTCAACCAGGTCGTTGAAGCATATAATACACTATGGTAGCATATGGTGGCTCTTCCAACCATGCTCATTTACATGGACAAGGCACATCGAAACATGGACACAATGAACCAGCCAAGGAGAAACAGGGCTGCTGAACGTGAGCGGCCACCCATACAAAACATATTGCAGTTAACTTGTGGTGGTTCTAAGTGTGCTTGGATGATTTTGAGACATGGCAGGGTTACCTTCAAAAAAGAATAGTCGTACCTTTAAGTGGCTGAGACGTGCCTGGCGTTGCTTGATCCCGCTGGAAATTCAGCGCGGATGTTCCCGGCTGACTGGTTTGCCATCATGCGAATGGGCTCATAAGTGCGGTCCCTCCAACAAACACCGCAGTTGACTGGAGTGCTTTGTTCGAATACCTTCGACTTTTCATGCTCCCTCCCCTACGCAGGTTCAACCTTTTGAGCGGGAGATGTTTGTTGTGTTTTACTTGCTGCAATTTTGGTAGCACAATCTTAGGGCTGCGAGTGGGTTGGGCGACATTTCAACTGGTCTGCCTTAACCCACCTGATCCACATTGTCACATTTGTGTTCGAGCATTCTCTTCCGGTCGTTATACCACTCTGGAGAGTAGCTCCAAACCTGGGCTAGGTGTTTTTGATTTGCAAGTTGGCCAAAGTTGGATTATTGAAACTGCTGCAGATCGAGATGGTGAAAAGCTGTCTTCAACGTTGGGAGAACCCAGTGTGAGCATTCAAACTGCACACGCTCGCACAACATCGCGCAACTATGTGTCACTTTACGCATGTGTGAATCGTACTCATAGGCGCGTGGCCGCGCCCGGCAAGAAACCCCAGATCGCCACTAGAATGCCTTTCTTGGAAGCCTGTGGGGGGTTGTTTTTGAGGGTGCACCTGTTTTGGGGTTGGTTTAAAGGAACACCACAAGAAACAACACACAAAACCATTGGATTTTGGGGGCCCCTCAAATTTGCTGTTTTGGTGGCATATGAAACCAACACCCAATGGGATTGCTTGGGGCGCATATTTTGACATCCATCAGCCGGCATAGATTCCGGCGAGTGCATGGATGGTTTTTCCGATCTCGAGGTGTTAGCGCTATGCGCGGGCGCTTATTTGGTGGTCGTCTTTGGCACAGCCGTCACGGTGCTCGGCCAAGATTGGATGCCTTTTTGGGGAAAAGAGGTCCAAGATACATGAGGATGGGTCTCTTTGTTTTGAGGAGACTGGCACCTGTGGGTTAAAAAAGGCATTCGAAGGACAACCCTCCTTTTTAGGGGTCCCTGAAACATTTTCCACACGCACACACACACAGATGGAATTACCTCAAAGTGGGGGATCCAAGCTTGAATAGGTGGCATCCCTTTAGTCTTGGTTTAAGACCTATCCCAGAACGGGCGCTCTGAAAGAAGCTCGTTGGTTTTGGTTCCGGCAAGTTGCTTTCCACCTGTGTAACCGCCGATTTGCACATTTGACTGGAGTGTTTGCATTGACTGGAGTAGTGGCCTGAGTGTTGCACGGAACATCGGCCCTGCTCCGGGAGAGCCATTTGGCTTGGGCATCTTTCAGCGCCGTGTGGATCGCACGGAACTCAACAAAGCAAGTGTTGGGGGTTCCAAAATCTTCCAATCAAAAGGTTCCCCCCAGCCAACCAATAGTTCGATGGTTCGACTCAACATTTGACCATGGGGGTTGGTTGCTTCAGGCTCATTGGCTTTGGGTTTGACAAATAGTTTTGCATGTCTTGGGGGAAGATGGGTCTTGGGCGCTTCCATATTGGTCCGAGAGATTTTGCTAATTGCCAAAGCGGGGCCACGAGTCTCATTGGCCTCAGCGGTCTATTTCTTTTGTAGGGCAACGTCCTCTGAACCAATAACTGGCATTTGCAGGATAGGGGCCCTCCAGATTGTTGGTTTCCGCGCTGATTTTGTGGTGCACCATCCGGCAAGTGATAACATATGCAATCAAGGTTTCCTCGTGCTGTAGGCTTTCCTTATCTCAGCCTTTGGCTCCGCGAGTGTTGCAAGTCTGAAGAATTCTCAGCCAGATGTCCTTGGTAGGGGGCAACGCATGCTCTTCGTGTGTTCTGTGTGTCCGGCATCCTTTTTCTCTTCGTTCCAAGGTGTCCACCAAGAACGAGGACTTCCGCACCATCCCAAGGGCGGTGCTGTCCTTGTTTCAGATGACCGTTGGCAGCTTGGCAGTTAACCGGGGCGAAGGATACGTGCAGTGGACTTGCAGATATAGATGTAAGTGGCCCTGTCTCCCACGTTTGATACCGCCAGCAGGGTGGTGCAACTGCCCGATCTCCGGATCACACAGCGCGGTCCACTGTGGAAAGTTCTGAGGTTTGTCTTTTGCTGCCCATGGATCTTTGATTGGGGCATATTCCTTTCCTGCAGGACTCACAGGTAGCCCGAGAAATGGATGGGATCACCGCATGCTGCCCTCAGGTGACAATGTGGGGAGGGGGAAAAGATGGACCCCATGCCCCCATGCCCATTTTTTTTGTGATCAGCTGCTTGTTTTGTTTTGTTTGACTGGCATTTGGCCTCGCCCCTTTTTTGCAACAAAACTGATGGCGGCCAGCCTTGCCTCAGCAGATAGGGGCGGGTTTGGGGGAAGAGTGTGATGAGGATGCGCTGCACGCATTTCAAGGGGAAACTTCTTCATTTATGTAGTTGGCCGCACTGCCACTTCGGAGGTTACACAGGCGCTGGTTGCAGAGAGAAATTGCCTACAGGAAGCCAAGAGCAGCAAGAAGGGCTTTGTAATCCTTGACCCTGGACTGATCGGGGCATGCGTCTTGTTCTGGATGACAGCAGTGCACTTGGCATAGTGGGAACTGTGCTTGGCTCAGGGAAGACCACGGTGATTGGCGCATGTTGGCATGCCGCCAATGGAAGCACACATCACAGAGAATCACGAGCGTAAAGCTGGGCTAGAAGAAACAGCAGACAGTGCGCAAAGTGATACCTCACACTGACCGCACGTGCGCAGGTATGTATCCTGGGGACAAATACTATGCAGTTTTGACGGATCGATGGCTCTTGGTTATGTGCATGGGCCTCATTATTCTGGCGGCTTGGCAGCCAAACGTGGGCTTGCCTCAGGGAGTATTTTGCTAAGCTAGTGCTTCGACGCACGCCATTTGTGCTGTCAAACCAGACAGACAGAGAGCCAGAGACGGCTTGACAAGGCACGGCGTGCAACTTGTTTGTTTCACAAATATGCGACTGATGGCCTCAATGTTTAGGCAGAAGGGCTCGTGGGCAAGCCAGAATCATAATTTGTCATGCTTTTGACCTGCTTTGTCATTGCTGCGCCGCCCTGCTGCGCATCACATGTGCCCATGCTTTACATGCTGCCTTAGTCGGCCAACACTTGCGTCTTTCATCGCTCGGGTCCACTTTGGAATGCCCAAACTGAAGCGGCTCAGATTTTGGGAGAGGTCCATTAGGATGGCTCGCGTTTTTTCAGGTTGACGTGTCTTCCATGCTGTTGGCAAGATTTGCTCCTGCTGTGGTTGCACAGGTGCTGCGGCATGCAAGAAAGGTAACGCTTCCCAATTGCACCCCCAAAAGGCTGCGGAGGACTCCTTGCATGGCGAGCATCGTGTTCTCATAAGCTTTGTGCCATGAAACGTGCATGAATGGAAGTTTCTGAGCGTGCAGCGCATCTTCCGGAAAGCAAGGCGTTCGGCGCGCTGAGGTTGTGATATTCCTGTTCAACGTGCTGATTGCCATGCTCATCGGCTCCTATTCGGAAGTTCACGGCACGGTGATCGGCCTGGCGCGGTTGAACCGCATGGCCATCATTGTGGACTCCATGCCCGGAGTGCGGCAAAAAACCTTCGCAAAGTTCATCGAAGGCGGGGCTATAAGCTTCTCACTTCGGCCCACAGCACCGGATTCGGAAGATCCACTCCTTTCTGGAACTGGTAGCAATCAATGGAGTGGTGAACTCATCTCGATTTTCAAAACGCTTAAGCTTAGTTTGTAAGTTTCTCATGTTTGGTCCGCCCAAATGCTGGGCCTTCGCGACATTGCCTGTGACCTTGCCTCATTTTCCGCTTCAAAGTGGCATTTGAAACGCTTGATTGCACTGAACCGCTGGGTGGCGAGCATGACCCTGGCTAATTCAAACTTCAACTGCCTCAATGCCTCAAAGGCAAAGCTGGCTTCCAAAGCATGACAACGTGACAGAAGTGACATGGGAAATAAAGCAAACAAAGACACCTCCTTGAGAAACGCAGTTTGAGGTTAAGCTAGTTGGTGCAGGACTAAAGCTGGACGAGCGCATGGAGTTCAACGAGGGCCACTTGGCAGAGCCCAAGGGCCCCCATCTTCACCGCAAGCCACGCAGTTAGCTTGCACACCTGAGCAATGGAGATGGCCGCTAAAATTGTTAAATGTTGAGAAACGAAGTTATCATTGAATCCCCACCTCTTTAGGGTCCGAAAATGGGGGGGACGTCTGAAAGTGTAATTTGACATATCTAGGGGCGTCCCAGAAGTTTCCTCTTTGGAATCAAGCACCCGCTTTGCCAGGTTCTTCCTGCAACCTTTGAGCTTTCAGGGCTTGGTGCGAATGTGCGTTTGAGCTCGGGCCGCATATTGTTGGAGCGTCCGGACCGTTGAGGCATCCACCGTTGAGCCAAGGGCGTGGCTTGTTCAGGGAACCCCATCCTGTCTGCTTCACTCGATTGTTTGGTGCCTGAGGTGATGTCGGCCTTGCGGGAGGCATTGATTTTGTTGAACCGGCCTACGTTCATCCAACCTATGAGGAGAAGAGGGGGGGGACGGTCGGTAGCTTCTCGGGTGTTTAGCTGCTAAGACTTAGCATCGGACACGGGAAAGGTTGGGTGTCTACATGCGTTTTTTGTTTTCCATTGCTTCAGTCTTCTTCAATAGCCAAACAGCTAGATGAGCTGCTCAGGGTTTAGATAACATGCAATGAGGGGCTTGCATCATCGTCAAAACTGCTTTGAATTCGGCAAGTGAACAAATAAGGCATCTAACCAGTCTACCCTTCAGGCTTCACCCAACAGCGGTGGCACACGAAGAACCATGAAGGTTACTCATGTTAGTTTTGTGCATCATCGTCCTTTTCAGATTCTATCACGGCTCACCTGGCATTTGCCTGAACTGGTTTTAGGTTCTTGGGTAACTTGTCATTGTCTCCGTTGTTTGGGGCCACATGAAAGGTACTCCTTGAGCAGCAGCTTGAGCAAACTCAAGCAGAGTTGCAGGCGGCTTTGAGGATGCTCTTTCACTACCTGGACTTGCATTTGCCCTTCGATACGTTGGTAAGTGGACAATGCGCGTGCTTGGACAATTTGTCAGGTGGCTTGCGATTTATGACAGGTCGTTGTCCTGCAGTTTCTCGCGCCACTGTGAGTACAATGCTGCATTAGGTGTGTGACTGTGCGAATGACCGCGTTCTTGGTGACAACAGGGAACAGGGAGAGGGCAAGCACTTAATGTCTGCTGCAGATGGCGGCCAGGACTTGATTTGCAGATTCGGAGGCTCCACATCTCCTAAGATGCCTTGGCCAGTAGCTTGGCGTGGGAGCCAATTCACAATCCAGAAGCCGATTCTACTGTTGCTTGTCCCTTGCTATTGCTGGTTGCCTTGGAATTTGGTGGGTGTTCTTTGTTCTGCTGCTTGTTGATGCATGGTACATGGGGCGAGCCAAACACATCGTCTTTTTGCACAATTGTTTACCACACGAGACTGCTCGTTTGGTATGTTCATTGGGCAGTGCACCGAGCTTTGATTGGAATCGTGTGTTTGTTCTTTTTGCAAAGTGTACCGCAATACTCGGACAAGTGAACTTGCATTTGCTTCAGCGACTGGGGGATCCTGATCATGTATAGTTGCTACCCGGTAATTTGCGTGACGTCACTTCTGATTCGAATGTACTTCAGCAAGGAGAACTCACTCCTTGGCCCAGCCCATCAGCCACGGCTCCATGCTTTGGATAGGTTCTGCGGGCAGGCTTGGCCCCACTTTGGGCGATGCGAGGCAACGGTCACTTTTGGGCATGCCTGCTGAGCTGCACTTGCACTGAAGCTGAAAGCAAACATTTTATCGCATTTGCTGCTCATGTGAAATGTGGAGGCTTGCTGAAGCAGCACGTGATAGTCCCGTAATTCCAGTCACACGCTGCCTAGAACTCGACTGCATCACGCATTTGGATTGCATTATATACTTTTGCGAGTGCCCAATGGCTGCACATTGGCGACCTTTTTTCCACGACTTGTGCTTTGTTTGAGTGTACAACAGTCGGGCGCGACGCAAGCACCACGCGCGGATTGTATCGTGTGGCTAAGGAGGATGAGGAGGAAGCCACCGGCTCTGTGTGCGAAAGGCGCGACTTGGGCCTGTCGTGCAGCATGCGTGACAGCCACTTTTACACTCAACCACTACAGTCTTTTAAAGGCCCCCTTTCCACTTGCACTGTGTTCATATTATGATGCCGGCAAGAACTGACTTGCCGACGACTGCCAGCAGTGGCACAGACATGTACAGGCAGCTTGGCCCGTCTCTTGCAGCCATGAAATTGCAGATGCTTGCTAGGGAACTTGTCATCCGGTCGTGTAGTGCAAAGAAAGTCACCGCAGGCTGGATGACCTCACCAAAATTTTCAAGAAAGCCATGTGCCTTGGGCAGCATGCTGGAACATGCTGGAAGGTTGTCTGATGTGCATACAGGGTTTCAACATCACCTGGTACTGCGTGGCTAGACTTAGAACCTTACGTCATGCTGTGCGCATTGCCCAGGACTTGGACAGTTTGCGCCCACAAAAGGCCCCCCGTGGAAGTTATGCTGACATCTCCAGAAGCTTTGGATCTCCCGTGTCAGTTCTGGAAGGATAGGGCATAGTAAAACACTGGATTGTATTTTCTTGTGCTGGGGGTGGGGCCCAAATCAGCGGCCGAGTGGCAAGTTACTCTTGGGCATTGGCTGGACGCACATGTCGTTGTTTTGGCCAGCCGGCTGCCCCGCCGCCCAAACCTTATGTTTAGCAACTTTTCCGTTGTCCTAGTTCCTTCTCTCTTGATGCGGACTCTCAAAAACCCTGCGTTTTTGTTACGCTTTTTCCTTCCACGCCAGCATTCATTTCATGATTTTGCGCGCAAAACTATTTTTGTTTTTGCCATTCATGAGCCCGAAAAGCTGGTTTCGGTCCGTTTTTCCACGTAATTTGCCCGTCCACGCGCTGGTTACTTGCGTGCATGCTGGTACATATGTTGACGTGCCCGTCCACGCGCTGCACGGTCACATGCGCACATCCTGGCACATATGTTAACGTTCTACGCATATCATACCATTTTTTTACGCGTCAACGTGTCCACGAGCTGCTTGGTTACTTGCGCACATGCTGGCACCTATGTTAACGTGCCCGTTACTTGCGCACATGCTGGCACATATGTTAACGCGCCCGTACACGCTGCACGGTCACATGCGCACATGCTGGCACATATGTTAACGTTCTACACATATCATACCATTTTTTTACGCGTCAGCGTGTCCACGAGCTGCTTGGTTACTTGCGCACATGCTGGCACCTATGTTAACGTGCCTGTCCACGCGCTGCATGGTCACTTGCGCACATACTGGCACATGCCGCGAGAAAGGGCATCATGAGACGGCATGACATAAATCTAACAGCCTCAAACACGCGGCAGGCTTGGCGGGACGGTTGGTTGGAGCCCCCCAAATACGACAAAGCAGAGTACGGGGAATGGCGGGACAGCCGGCTACCTTGTTGTACCCATGTGCATCTCATCGTCCCCTTTACTTCAAGCAATGCAATTCACAAAGGGCACACCCCGGGCAGCTGTCAATTCTTTTAACTAACCTGTCCCAAACCTAATCCCCAATGATTAGCGGATTACGGATTGCCCGGTTTACGGATTAGACCGTTTTGATGTAGGACACTCCACTACATTGTGAGGGAACTGCTTTGCAGCTTGTTAAGGGGTGTTTCAATAGAACAACACGCTCGGCAGCTTGAAAATGACACTAGAGCATGTGAAAGGGCCCCAGTGGGATCACGTTTCCAGGATGGAGCCATGGATGCCTGGTACTGGTATGAGGCTTTGTCAGGCCCACTTGGAATGGCGATAAACCGCGCGGATTCCGGATTCAGCGGATCACGGATTGTGATTAGGCTCCCGGGGATGTCGAAGAGGCTAGTTTAATGATTTGCAACCATTGCAAGTACCTGGGCGGGTTTTGATTTTTATCTCTGCGTCAAGTTATGTTCTCTGAGCTGCACTTAGCTCAATGCATTCAACGCTCTCAGGAAGAGGATCTACCTGCAGCACAAGCACGGGAAGTCAGAGTCCAGCATCACTTCATCTGCCGCCCGGCAATGCTTGGCGGCGACTGGCAGCCGATCCATACAATCATGGGGGCTGAGGGGGAGGGAGCGGGGCAGGGAGACCCAAATAAGCCCTTGTTAAGCCCTTAATAAGGCCCTATTTAGGGCTCCCTCCCCCCAGCCCCCATGATACAAACGTGCCAATGAATGCGAAGACCGGAGACCTGTGGCTGCCTGCCAGCGGTTTTCTCAGGAGAGCACGGAGAGAGCGGCAACAGTCACTAACATGAGACATGCAGCAAGCTTATCGCTGGCACATGCTTCGTGGCCTGCTTCCTGCCAATCTTGTACTGGCCTGCTTGTCGTTTGCACGCAGCTAAAAGGGAGCTAAAGGGTGTTGGGGCGATTTAAATCGGAAGCTAAAAGCAATGATTTAAGCATGGTGTGTGTCCACTTATGGATCCTGCCCGGAGAACCCACACCCAGTTGCGCCTCCTGTTCAACAGCGGGTTGTTTGAACCCTTAAGCTAAGTCCTCTCAATGGTTTGTGGGGCAGGCAAGGGGCCCTTACCTATGAGCTGCTCAACACTACTTGGGCTGACAGAGCGTTGATATAGATCTCCGTGGATTCAATGAAGTGACCAAGCCTTGCTTACCCAGGCCCTCTTGAGCAAGGTTTGTCAGAAATCTATAATAAAGGGGGGCATCAGCTGGCTAGATGCACAAAACTAGCCTCCTGGGAGCCCGTGGAATCCGAGTGGAGTTGTCGACTGAAGCGGCTTCTCGTCTGTCTGATGTGCATGTGGGAAACCCGATGCTGAGACGAGCAGCCCAAGGCATGGCCATGGCTTCCAGCTGAATCAATCTAGTTCATGAGCTAGACCTGGCCCAAGATGCCAGGCATCCCAGGCCCAGGATTTTGGGACTGGTTTTCTACTGGTGTTCTACTCTTCACGATTTTTCTTATTCGGAGATGACTTGGATGGAACAATGAATTTCGAATCTAGAGATTGCAAAAACAGATTGAGCCATCCCAGATGTAAATGTTATGCAACTGGTTGGGCTTGCGGATGCAACCTGGGCAAAGTGTCAAGCGGCTTTTTCGAGGTCCAGTGCACCTGCAATTTGTTACTGCAAGAAAAACAGCTGGGACTCAGGAAGCGAGCGGCAGCTTCAACTCCAGCGGCGTTGCCTGGCGAGTATTCAGAGCCCAACTGGCAACTGTTGAGGGTCACCAAGGAACTATGGGCCATCGTGTTGCCATACTTTTCCTTTGGCTTTGCACCAGTATTGGAGTCATTCAAAGGTGCAGCTGCTCTGCTTCGAGTATTCAATGTTTGTGCAGTTGATAGCCCAATTGACTGGATGGCAGTGGCAGGGCAAGAAGGGGCGTTCCCTGCTCGCAAGAGGTCGAGGCAATGAACCAAGTCATGTGTCCACGAGGTGGGTTATTCGGACTAGGATTGAACCAAAGGTAAGGATGCACGTCATTTGCAACCAAGGCTCTTGTTGCCTTGGATTCAGAATGGGATGTTCCCAGCGGCATAGTTGGTGGAGCCTCATACCGATGGCAGCGTCGAACCGTGTAGCATATATTTTGGGACCTGCCTGAGGTATCTTCAAGGTCAGACTGAGCCGAAGGCCGCTGTTCCGTGGCTTGTCAGCAAGACTTGTCAGACTTGTGAACACTCGCTTTATTACGCAATGATTTCATTTGCCGGAAAGATTGCCATCTGCCACATAAGTATGGGCCTTGTCGCTGAGGTTCGGGAAGCGGCTGATTCTCCATAATTTGGGGGATTCCCCTGCACAGCTCATTTCATCCAGTTTCTCAGTAAAACAATATGGCAATGCAAGGGCTGGGCCCAAACGAGCGGTGCAGGTGATGCATGAATCGCAAGCCTAGCACAGGTTTTGCAAGACAAGTGATAAAGTGTCTAACATGCTCCAACGAACCAGATGTACGAGGGTGATGGCAAGCCTCATTGTTTGAATCAGGGCTGGACATGGAGCAGCAAATCAAGCAATACACTTCCTCTACATGCATACAAAACTGTGGCCTTCGGTTCTCAGGGATCTATGCTTGTTAATTGAGCATGTTGCATTCCAAGCTTCTTGTGACCCGTGACATACTGAGCTTGGCTTGGCTGCAAGCAGTGCCATAGATTTGTCCCTGGCCTAGTGGAACTGGCAAGATTTTCTCACGCACGCGTGACAACACGCTGCATCACCAAACTCCAGCCGGAGTCTTTCCTGCTCAGAATTGAGCTGGTCTCTACGAGTCAGTTTGATGTTACCCTGGAGCGGCTGTTGCCAACAGGCAGAGGAGGACAAAAAGCATGTTGCCCAGGCAAAAGAGGATGTCTTTTACTTAGTTGAACCAATGCAGGCGCGCATTGCCATATGAGAATGAAAGGGGCAAAGCGCGCCTTGAGACCAGTGGAAAGACACGCCTCCTTTCTGCCTGCGTAGTGCGAGAAGAGTGAGCTCCGGTTGGCAGTGATGCAAAGGGACAATGAAGGAAGAATGGGATGTGAGGCACAGAAATGCAAAAGCACTGATCAGAAGATGTATTGCAGCTATTTATTTGTTTAGAGCACACTATATGAAGATGTTGTGTGGCGTGGCAATTTGCCTGCAGACTCAGTTGTTGCAATGCCAGCTCTAAATGAGCTTACAGCGGATTTTTCATGGGTAAAAGTCTTTGCAAGTTCACATCACAAGTTGCCAAAGCCAACAGGGGTTGCCACAGAAGGGCAGAAATTTGATCCTGAGGGACAGGGACACCATTTGCCGAGGTATCTTTTTGGTGACGGGTCCAGTTTGGGTGTTTTGGGCAGGTTTTTGTGAGTGAAGCGCAGTCTGGGAGCAGACTCATAGTTTCAGCACGGCTAACAAACCGTCAGCGGGAGTGGTGACCAGCGAGGTCAGAGGGCTCTGCGCTCCCCCGAATGGGGGCCGCTTTGTTTGAATGAGTCAAGGCAAACAAATTGCTTTGCCCGGGAATTTCACAGGGGTGGGGCAACCTGCTGCAATGGTAAAGCCGATTCCAAGAGATGTGCCGTAAACTTAGAGTTATGATACCTTGTTTTGTTTCTTCGTGTTGTTGTTTGACGTTATTGAACTGCTTCAGGGCTCCACCTCAATCACATGGGTTCCCAGCACTTTCAACGGTTGCTGTGGTCGCTTGTAGGCTGTGGGACTTGTTCCGTTTCACCTCACAGCGCCAATTACTAACATGCAACGCAGAGTGCCGGAAACCGCACGCACAGAAGGCAGATCCTTGGTTTCATCCAGTTCTGGGATGATGTTGGATGGCAGGGAGGGCTTTGATTCGAACTGATTGGGTGGGACAAAGAACGTGCAAGTAGGCTCCTAGTTTGGGACCTAGGCAGCCACGGCCTTCGGGACAGGTGTCCTTCTTGGGTTGGCTAAGAGCATAGATTGGCCTGGTGTTCCTGGTGGTTCATTTATCTACCAGGGCCATTTGTTTGCGACCGCACCAACCCCAAAAGTGCGCCTATGTTCGGGACTCTCCATCAAGGCGAGTGAAGCCACAGCTTCAAACAATGGCCCCGGCAACTTCAATGTCAGGCTCGATTTCGTCATGGATTTTCAGCCCCCAGCAATCCCCGGCAACGTGCCATTCCCGATATATTATGACAAACATCGGAGCTGCGTCAGGGGGGTCAGGCGTTTGTGAGAGGCGTGCACGTTGGATTTGACATGTGCCAGGTAGGCCAAATGTTGATGAAGCTTGAGCTCTGAAAGCATGTAAACGCCGTTGCTAGCGTCGTATTCCTCCCGCCCAAGTTGAATCCTGCGAGGCTGATGAGGGCGCTGCATGGCCGGTGCCTCAGATCGCCCCACAAAAAGCGGTTTGGAGCTGGGTTGGAGGGGGTGTAGTTTGTGTAAAGGAAAGCTGGGCCTGTTGGTTGGATCCCAACCAGACAGGGAACGCGCTGGCGGCAATCAGGCTGTACCATTCCAGGAGTCCCAAAAATCCTTGACAAGCGCAATGTTACGACGCCAGCCAATCCAAGCAAGAGCCAGCTTTTTTTGCCGGCATGCCTACGTGATGGTGATGAATGTGGAGGAATTAAACAATGCTCTTTGAGAGGGTTACAAATTTGCTCAGACCCTTCACTTACCCGGGAAGCTCAAGCATCTAGAGGCTACCCATTTGAACAGTTGGTTTCTGTGTCATTCTACGCGTGAGGCACTTTACACATACCCTCTCTCCCACTAACATGGCACCTGAAAGGGGGTCCCTCCAAGAGGAACCTGATCTTTCAGGTACCCTCTCACAGGTGCCATGTTAGTTGGAGGGAGGTTAAATGCCTGGGTCTGGCAAAGCGGCCCCGCAACCTCGTGCTGACAGGACACCCTGCCCCGATGGGAGGAGTTCAGCCAGGATATGCGCGGGGATCTGGTCTTCGGGTGGCTGAAGCTGGCAGCGGAAATCAATGGCAAGCTCTTGGGTGCCGCTTCCTTGGGATGGCGGGACTTTTCTCCTGTTCTTGTTGCGTGATGTCAGCACAAGAAGGAATTCGCTAAGGATTCCCCGAGGTTTCCATACGTTTCCTGTTCTTTTTTTGTGGTTTTGCCAGGTCCCAAGTGGTCGGAGCGCTTTGGTTTCACCGGAAGGGGTCCGACCGCCGACGGGCTCCTCTCCGCCTCTCTGCTTCGCTTCGCAGGACTCGGCTCAGAAGCTCCAGCTCGCAGGCTTCAGCGTGCTGGGCATCTGGATCTCCGCCTTGGGCAGGCGTTCCCCCGGCCCCGGACGGGGCCGGGTTCCGGGGGCGGGGAACTCGGCACAACTTGGCAACTCGGGAGACCGAGGCGAGAGGCGACATGACGAGCTAGGTGACACTTGGTTTCAGAGATCAGTCAGAGCTCAGGGAAGCATGGGACCTTTGTCCTCCATCAGCCAATGGATGAGTGCATTGAGCACTAAGTTGCCGCAATGAATGGTAGGATGACTGATGCACTGTGGTGGAAGCCAATGCTACCTCCAATCGAGCCGGCTTCGCAGAAGTTGGCAAGGCTCATTTCACGGTTCAGCCCATATCTGAGCTTATCCAGTGAGGGTGTGACACGTATCAACCAGAACCGAGGGAGTGCTTGACTGTTTGACTGCAGCCGCTTCGGTTCTCTCGGTGTGAGCACGTGCCGCGACCTCGCTTGCGACCATGGGCGAGGTTGTCGAGTCTTGGGAGGATCTCTGCCCCAAGCCGCCGCCTGGCAATCGCCACAGGCTCATAGAAATTGGTGGGGCCGTGAGTGGCCGGTTAGCCCAGATCTAACCTCTGAAGGTCATATTTGTTTGTGAGGTTGCATGCCGCATGCCCGGAAAGGTGGGGCGCACACTGCCCTGGAAATTCATCGCTGGGCCCCTTCATGGCGGCAGTGGAAGGCAACCCTGGAAGTAGTGAGACAAGAGCTCTGGTTGAAAGGGCAGATGTTCTGGACATGTTTATTCATTTCGGAGGTCTAGACTGGAAGCACCGACTCTCGCCCCAATAAGGCGGCTCAACCCAAGGTGCAGAGCCCAAGCCGGTTGCTTGCAGCCAATTTGTTGACTTGGGTGACTGAGGAAGTCCCCTTGTACCTCGCCTTCCTGCACTCTGCAAACAGTGGGAGTGGGTTGCTACATATAGAGTGTTTGAATATTGAACATTAGCCGACGTCGCTGTTTGCTGCCAAGAGCCCGGCCAATGCAAGAGCTGCGATGGTTGCCAGTTGAATGCATTTGCACATTACATGTTTATCCACTGACGTAATGGGTGGAAGTAAAAACCCCGCACCTTTTCGTTACGTAGGGGGCCGCTCAATTGTTTCGGAGGCCCAAATCATTGCAAACCAATGCTGAGGGGGGAAAAAAAACGAAAACCCCAGAAACCATAAACAAACGCAATTGGCTCGAATAGTCTTGTTTTCTTGCAAGTTGCACTTGCACCCTGTGTAAGCTATACGAGGCATGGACAAAGGCCGCAATCAATCGTTCTAAATCAAGGTTGCGAGTGTGAAACTTGCAGGACCCGAACCGATACTCAAACCGATACTCAGTCGATATTTGACCGAGACTCATGCTTAGCCAAATTCAACCAACTGCCCACACGCCGTGTCTCTGGTTTTCTACCAACTCCTCGAGCTCCTCTTCCTGATGACCGAACCAGCTTTTGAAACACACGACGCAAGTCCGTGCGCCGTTGCCTGCTTCCTGCACTTCCTATGGGTTTAGAGCACGCTTAAAAGCAGTGCACACCGATGCAGAGGAAAACGTGATACTACTCAGGGCCTAAAGGGCTAAGGTTGCAGATGTTGTCCATGTGTTGTTTGGTTGTTTTCAACAGTCCACTTGATTTTGCTGCACCTGTTTGCATTAAGCGCATGTTCTGCCTCCGGCAAACTTTCCATTGGCTTATGTGCATGTACATGTAGGTATTTACATATTTATCATAATGTGATGGACAGCTATGTTCCGACACGTGCTGCTCTTGTGCAGAAAGCCACACCCGCCTGATTGTCAATTTGCTTTCCAGCTTGGGCCAGAATCAGGAAGGGACGCAAGAACAAGAAGGAACAGAAGCCCGTGGTGAAGCAGGCATCAGCCCAGCGCGTGCGCAAGAAGAAGACCGAAGAGGGCGAATTTCAAGGCAGATTCAGAAACAAAACGCCTGCGTGAATCGCGCATTGTGTGCAGGTGACGTGCTTTTCTGGAGATTTTTTGGTGCTGCATGTATTGCTCCTCCTTCCGATGTTTCTTCCCGGTAGCCCGAGGGAGGGATGACGTGTTTCATCGTGCTTCTTGCGGTGGGGATCACGAGGTTACTTGAAGTGACAACCTCCGTGACTTGCCCGCAAGAACTTGGTGCGTTGCTTTGGGCAGTCGGAGAAATCTCATGTCGCCGCAGGTGAAGCGCAGCTTGCGCCTGTCGAGCCGGAGCCAAGCCCGACACATGCGCCCGTGCCTGACGTGCCTCCGCAAGTCAGCCACGTGGTGGAAGTCACCCAAGACATGCCTCGAGCGCCAAAAGTCCGCAGAGAGAAGCAGTGCGAGAAGCCGAAAGTGGACCCCGACACAAAGTGCATGGAGTCGTGGGAGGCAGGGTGCCAGCAAGAAAGATGCAAAACAAAAAACACGCGGCCAAGTAACTGCAACAACAACGATATTTCACCTTCTTTGCAGGGCGTGCGCAATCATATGCAATCATATGCATATGCAGATGTTTGCAGGGTTGCATTCCAAGGACTGGGAGGATCTTTGTGACTCCGAGCCTGGCAGCACGGCCTTGGGGGACCACGACATCCACCAGGACGCGAGCAGTTCCACGCGGTCCTCCCCGGCCTATGGCCACCGTCCCTCCCCCGTCGTGGCCCCCCCGTGGCTGCTGTGCACCTCCAAGCGCGGCACACAACAGTATTGCAAGTGAGTGGATCCGAGGGCTCGAGATTTTCACGGGGATTGGAACGTGAGAGGATGTGAGAGAGAGGGTTTTCGGTTTCGGGCAGACTTGGGGATGTCCATGAATTTGCTAGCTGTTGTTATGTCAATGCAATTGCTGCAAGGGTGCCCTTTGCGGATGTCCACTTGCATTCGAACCTGAGTGAAGCAGCCGGCAGGCGTTCCCCATCTCTGGGAACTCCGGGCAAGAGTCGGTGTCACATGGCGTGTTGGCGAAGGGCTTAGAGCTGGAAGCCACTGGCATTGAAGTATTGGGATTCGGATGATTCGGTTGTTTTGTTCTCTTGGCCCATGTAAGAGGCATGCACGATGACACGGGCATTCGCTCCCGCTGTGCGGGCAGAAGTACGTGTCTTTTGGCCGGCTGCTGATCTCAACCTGCAGGCGGCCTTTGCCACCGTGCTTGGAACTGTGCAGGATGTGTTTTATACATCACTGGCAGTTTCAAGCACGCTCTGAGCAGACGGCTTTGTATGCCCCCATGTGGTTTACCAGATGGAGCATGTGGATCAAAGAATTGCCGGGGGCTTATAAACCAAGGGCGAAATGCCACAAGTGAAGAGCGACAGGAAGTCGATGCTCCAGCGTAGACAGCCGGCACCAGGGACACGAAAGGGAATTCTTGCCTCAGGTCGAGAACTGACAGTAGTCCTGGGCCCACATGAACCTGTTGGAAAGGGCATTGGTGCGGGAAGTATTGAAACGACGCACTTGGGCTTTCAGTTGGGAAATCAGAGCAGGTCAGCTGTTTGGCCACTTCCACCAAAAACCATCATACAGGAAACCTGTGCCCTGTGGCCCTGTGGTACACCTATGCCGCGGGCTCCCTGTTTGGCGGGTTCCCACTAAACACGGTGAACCCCAAAAAGGAGTCCCTTCTTCTGGGCTTCCAGGCTTGCAACGGGGAGCTGAATGTGGGAAGGGCAAGCAAGAGTCAAGCGCAGCGGTTGTTCCCCTGAACGTTAACACGCACGCACTCCAAAATATTCCTTCCACTGCGTATCTGTGTTTAGAGTCTTTTGTGCGTCTTAAGTGCTTTGCACATGCAGTTGTTTTTCTTATATATGTATAATGCATGGATGGGTTGCTTGGAGCCTTCCCTGGTACGGCATGACTAGACTCCAGCGATCTGCTGGTTCGAGGAATCGCTCTGTGCATTGTACAATTTCAATCATTTGAAGCCAGCATCCGGGCTGGTAGAGCCCTCGCTTTGTGGAAAGTATTTGCTGATGTTGCAGTTCATGTTCTCTTCAAACTTGTACGGCACTACATGCATAACATGGTATTTTCCATTGCCTGGGCATGCCTGCAAGCTGAGCAAACTACCGGCACGGCCAGTTTCCTCTCCATTTCATGTACATTGTTTGCTGTCTTCATGAAAAGCTTCAGGTTCCATCGCTGTGAAGCTTGTCAGCGTTGCATCACAGAGATGCGCAGGATGCATAGCCTGGCCACGTGCAGACCTCCCAAATGCAGCCACACTGGCCGCATACCTTTGTGTTGCAAGACCTCCATCACGGGGCAGCCTGTTCCATGATGCTCAGAGACCTTCAGAAACCAAGTTCAAATTTGTTCAGCAAGAGGTGCGCAAGCCGGGCTTTCATTTCTGACTCTTTCCTCCCCTGGCAGGTTTGGCAGACAGAATGTGTTTTTTTTGAGTTTTGGCATGCTCAATTTGAGCCGTCAAAGTGTTGATTGAACTCGAGTTGCCTCCCCTTGCCTGAGGGAGCTGTATAGCTGCGAACGCAAGAAGACGAGTGCCAGCATGCGTGAGAGAGAACGGCGGGCAGTCAGCACAGCAGGTTTGTTGGGAGGGACACGTGGTGGGAACTTACTAATTTTCTCGCAACAACCAGGGGACTCACTAGTGTCTTAGCTGGCGAAGCGCTATCAAATTTTGGCTGTGAGTTCAATGGCCACAAACTACTGCGTGAACATGCGAAGGGCCAGGGGTGGACGTGTCACAATCAGATTGCATGGTTGCTAAGGATTATTGCAAGCGTCCATCAACCTTGCAGACATGCGTCCCCAACCATGCCCAGGACCCTTTCTGCATATTCAGGAGCTTCCGCGACAGCTCCTATGATTCTGTTGGATCCGATGACTACGGTCGGCATCAAACTGCTACCACCAAACGCCGGACTACTTGAGTGTTTGGTCGATCTTGAACCTTTGGAAGCTTGATTTGGAACTTTGTTTTGGTAGAAAGACCGGGTAAATGAAGGATAGCTTTCTTCCTGCACAAGCCAATTTTGCAACCTTTTGGCTGCCCATCGCGCCCAGAGGTGTTCTTTCCAGGTCTTTTGGACAACCTTGATGATGTCGAATCGGGGCAAGGAGGCCGACCGCCCCCTTGACCACCGGAATTCGGGATTCACTTGATTTGGTTCGGCCAGGTGGTGCGAGGGCAATCCCTTGGGTGCAGCCAACGACCTCTTCGCGGGCGTCTTTGGGGCGTCTCGGCTGAGATTGTCTCAAGGCCCATCTTCCCGGCCTGGATGGGGCACATTGCAGATAGGTAGGGCCAAAGGTCTATGAGTCAGGTCTCTGAGAGGCCACTTGGCGTTGCTCGGCTCTAGAAGCCCGAGTTGCGGCAGGCGTAAAGCTCACGGAAGGCCAACAGAAGGATGGCGAGGATGGGGTGCCGTCCCCAAAACGTAGGACCCTTGGGGAAGCCAGCTAGGTTGGCGCGCGATGTAGAAGCAGCCCAAAAAATGGCCTGAAAAGTGACATAGAGCCGCAGAGGGGAGGCATGTCAGACCTCAAGGCAACGGTAGCCACACGCTCTCACGGCAGAGGTGTTCCTCTTCCAAGACCAACTCTGGGAGATGTGCGGTGCGCGCCTTAGTTAAGATCAGGTCTATGCAGATGCTGCAGAGCCTCGTTCAGGGGGACTGTGATGTTTCGATCCGACGGGGTTGGATTTCGTACCTTGGATATGGATGCCTTGCAAATCCCTGGAAAGGGGGGGGGAGAATTAATTGCACACGGGCTGTTGGGAGGGGGGGGGGGCAGGGTTTGTTCATGGTGTCTTGCATGTCCTTTCAGGGGCTTCCTGTGGGTTGAGCGAGCTGTCCAGGCGGCGAGAGCACTGGCTGCGTATCCACACGAGGAGGGTGGTCTTTGGTTTCCTTGCCGCCAACGTCATGCCCCACACGCAAACGCCCGTGAAACCACAAACATGGATAAACAAAAACACGCGAGCACACAGACGCGCAAACACATAGACACACCAGCAAACAAGCCAGCCAACCAGCAAACAAGCAAATTACAGAGACAGAGACAGAGAGACAAGACAAGACAGAACAGGTAAGGACAGGACAGACACAGAGACAGGCAAGCAATCACACAAACACGCATTCAGTCACACAGACATGCGCGCGGCCTCACGTGGTTGAAAGGGCTCCGTCATTGGACCTTGGACCATGTGAGAGCTCAATGCCGCAGAGGAATGCTTAGGCTAAGTGCTTGCTTCTCCTTGTCAGCATGTGAAGCTTGCAACGCTGGTGCCATTTCGGACGCCCCATTGAATGGATCATTTGAGTGCCGAATGCTGCCAATGCAAGCTCGTGTAAGCTGCTGCTGATTCTTTGCACAGACGCGCGTTGCAGCTGTTTTCTCACGCGTTCTCCCCTTTTGATGGGTGCCATGCACATCTAGCTGATCCTGCGCAAGGAATCGTAGAGCCAAGCATGCCTGATGGATTTGTTGCTCATTCTGACGCGGTGTTCCACTTTGCGCAGCCAAACGTGCTTCAACTACCGACAGCACCAAAGCGACCTGATGTACCCCCGACACATGAAACCCCAGAAGCAGCCAAAGTTGTAGAGCTCTCTCTCTCTCTCGCATTTTGGAAGAAATCCCTTCCTGCCATTGCATGTCAGCCTTACCAGTCAACCAGGATCAAACTGCCTGGTGCCTTTCGCCCTGCTGTCAGCGATCAATGCCTGGCACCCAAAGATCCGGGCTGTGATTTGAGGGCTCCCACCTGTTGCCCCCCATTTTTACCTGAGTTCGGGGGGGCATTTTGCGCGAAATAAATGCAGAATACAGAAGGCTTGAGGAAACTGGAGACACTCGGCTCAGAGCTTTCGCAGGTGTTTGCAAGCGTTCAAGGTGCAAGATGTGCCTTTCCCATGACACTTGCTTGCACAAGCAGATTCCGCCAGGATTTGGCATCAGATTCATGGGCTTGCCCTCCCAAGCTCTGTTGCAAAGGTCTAGAGTCTAGAGTCTACACTGGAACGATCCACTCATATGCATTTGAGAGGGAGGCATTCGGCTCAACTGCACCCCTTTGTGGACCATTGGAATGAGGCTGCCTTTCACTGGGCGCGGCTCAGGCGGTGTTCGACTCCCTGACCATTTTAGTGGCGTGGCTCTTAGATCTTAGTTCGCCTATGCATCGCAGAAGATTGGAGACGGACATCGTTGCCTTCCGGCCGGAATTGTCCGGGTCCAGTGGCGGGAGGGAGCGAGGGAGCGAGGGAGCGAGGGAGCGAGGGAGCGAGGGAGCGAGGGAGCGAGGGAGCGAGGGAGCGAGGGAGCGAGGGAGCAAGGAAGGAATGCCAATGTTGGGCACACTTGCTGGAACATGTTGGTTGTCTGGTGCTTTTGCGTGGCAGTGTTGGCCGGATTTCAGGAGACCAGAAGAGTGGAACGTGGCCTATTGGCCTATGGGGCTGAGATCCCTGTAGCTATGTTCCTTAAGATAAATCTGGGCGAAAGTGATCATGCTTGAGACGATCTTGTCGTGCTGGGCATCATGTCATCAGCACAAAGCATACTGCCCCAACACTGAACAAATAGGACAGCTTCCTGTCTCGAGCAGACACGCTCTCTCACTGGGAGCATGAAGCGTAGACATAGCCTGGTGATTGCGAGGAGACATCCGCAATTTAATTTTGCCTAGTGATTTGGACAAGTGCGGTGCAATGCTGGGACTTGGGACTGAGTAAGCCTTGTCAGCCACATGCTGCAGGCTCCTTAAATCCACATGGACAAATGTC